TTGTTAAAATGTTAGGAATTTTTTGTACTGATTATTAAATACAGCTGTTAATAAATAAGCTTACTCTGATGGCCTAGATGGTAAGGAGTTGTGCTGCCAACCTAAAAACACATGGTTCAAAGCCACAAGCTGTTCCACAGGAGGAAGAGAAGCAGTCTCTTCCTGTGTGGTTTACTGCCTCTGACAACCCACTGCGGAATTAACTATGAGTTCATTGGTACTTGATAGTACCAAACAACAACTGTAAAATATGTAAATTATGAAGATAAGAAACTCTCAAAACTCATTACTTCCTAATTGTCCTACATTTTAGTGTGATCTATGTTCTTTCCATTTATTGTACATTTATATTTACATTTACATACAGCAGTAAACTCAAAACACACCAGTGATCATGAAAGTAGCACAGGGCTGGGCAGTGTTCTCTTCTTTTATACATAAGGTCTCTGAGTTTGTGCTGACATGATAGAAACATCATGCTTGAAATACTACATAGTATGCTATATAATCTAGTATCATTTGCTACTCTGCGTTTATTGTTTAACTTCATGTTCAGTGATATCTTGATGTTAGCTTGAAAAAGCCATAGTGGTGATGTTTACACTACAGAAATTGGCAGGTATCATAAATCAGGGGTGGGTTTATTGTTTACTAATTATCTAGACAGTGATAACCATAGAACAGTGCTGCATCTTCATTACATTGTGAGTAGTTTAACAAATATTTTTATAAATTATCATCATATTTTGGGCATGTTGCAAAGAGGGACCAGTCCTTGGAGAGGGACATCATGCTTGGAAGGGTCGAGGGAAAGTGCAAAAGAGGAAGACTCTCGATGAGATGGATTGATTCAGTGACTGAGGTAATGGGGGCGGGTGTGTCAGACAATAATACTGGCACAGGAGAGAGCAGGTTTCAGGGCCTTTGTACCTAAGTTCACTATGAGTAGTAAGCACATAACAACAATACAATGACTAGGAATGACAGAAGAAGAATTGATGCCTTTGAGCTATGATATTGAAGAAGAGCAGTGTACATCTCCTGGGCTGTCAGAAGAAAAAAAATTAATATGTCTTGGAGAGGGTGCAGCCAGAGTGCTCTTTGGAGGAAAGGATGATGAAGCTTTGCCTCACATACTTTGGGCATGTTGCTAGGAGGGGTTATTCTTTGCAGGTGGCTTGACATGGTGACTGCTGCAGTGGACTGTAATGTGTCAGAAGTGTGAAGATGGCACAGGATAAGACAAGGTGCCGATCCACTGTTCATAGGGTTGCCAAGAGCCAACAGCACCAAACAAAACTTAAAAGCTACTATCTGTTCAGCAAAGAACTCACGTCATTGATAGCACTAATGCAAATGGAAAATATCAATCAATACTTACGTGTAAACTGTATTTACCAGGGCATAGTTAATTCACTGTTTTGGAAGGACAACAACTTACATGTAAATTACACTTAGTTGACTAATAAACATTTACCATTACTGGTCATGGCATAGTTACTTTACTGTTTTGGAAGGACACAGATAATATAATAAATTTATAATTGTAATTGAGCTTTCGGAAATCATATGAATGACAGCATGGACATTATTAATTAAGAAAAAGATTCCTTTTTTAAAAAGGGCATTAATCATAAAGCATAATTATTTTAAAATGAAATTTAAAATATAATTTAAAGACTTTGTATATGTTACAAAGTAAGAGAGTAATCCTGACCAATCTGCTTTACAGATAGAAATTCCTTTTCTCGTCAGACATAGAGTTCACCTGATCATAATGTTTCAGGCCTCTTGAAGTAGAGAACTCTACTTAGGCTTAAATTGAGTTAAACTTTGTTTTCCTTTAATTTCTGCCAGTTGACTCCTCTGGCAAAACAGAAACTCCACTTTTTTTTTTTTTTTTTTAACTATAGCCACTTTTGATATATAAAGGTAGTGGTAATCTTTTCCACTACTTTTGGCAAAGACATTTCTTTAACAGAAAACATTGTGGAGTAAATTTGTCTAGATTCTACATCTATCTAAACCTTTGCTGTTCTTTAAAACATCCATATGACAATCTTTTTAGTACTTAATGACCTCATAGGTGAATTTTAAAAAGTCTTTAGGCATTTCTTTAATCAAGTTGGCCATATCAAGTCTTCTCTGTGATGATTGATATTGTTACCCCTTAAATTCCAAAGTACATCTTTGTATTTATTCTGTCTTATATTTGTATTGCTTTCATTATAGTGCTTTGGGCTGCAGAAATGATACTGAAATACAATTTATCATTTTTGTATTTATTAGTCTTGTCAGGTTTTTTTTTATATACTGATATGATAAGTACTCAGTGTTTAATGTCTACATCTGAATTGCTAAACTGTCATGTTGCAAAGGGCTGTGGGCATATAGTATTCATTAAATAAACCCTTTCTAAATTCACTTCTACTCATTATCTTACTTTTTATTGTTTGAGCAGTTATGACTCCAGGAACCAATTTTATTAAATAGCTTGTATTTCACCCTCTTATCCAGAATGTTACCATAATGTATTTTGTCAGATGCTTTGCTAAAATCAAGATGCATTAAGTCTTGTAGTCTCCTTTGAAACATAATTAGTAAGTTTATATTTTTAAATTTTGGAAAAAGCTGGGTGAAGCTAAATGTTAGTCATAAGATTCACATTGGGAAAGGAAGATAGACAATCCATGATGAATAGTTTGCTAGATAATATTTAAGAATTACAGAGATAAAAAAATATTTTGGGAAAGTGGATGGATTACTTTTAAGCCAGCATGAAAAGATTCTTTAAATATACCAGAAAAGTATAAAGGAGGTCAGTCGGGCTACTTGATCCTTAGGATACACATAGAGTGAAAGGAAAATTATACTGTGAGTGCAGACATTCTTCAGGTGACAATTTAGAAGAAAGTGTGTGGAGTTTATTAGTTTTCTTTTTCTCTGCTTACTACCTCCTTTAAAATGTATGTAGTGAAAGGTTCATCTGAATGGACGTGAGCGTACCTTTGCTGTTTACATCTAGTGAGCCAGTTACCAATCAAGTCAGGCTTGATTCCAGCTCATGGCAACCTGAACAGTATATTGATAGAGAACTGGCAGAAGTTCAAGCTGGATTTAGAAGACACTGAAGTACTAGGGATATCATAGCTGGTGTTAGATGGATCTTGGCTGAAAGAGAATAATAGAAGGATGTCTATTTGTGTTTTACTCACTGTGCAAAGGCATTTGATGATGTGAATTCTAACAGTTATGGCTAATATGGAAAAAAAAAATGGGAATCTCAGAACGCTTAACTGTGCTCATGTGAAACTTATACCTAGAACAAGAAGCTGCTGTCTGAATAGAGCAAGGGAACACTGCATGGGTTAAAATCAAGAAAGGGGTATGTCAGGGATGTATCCTTTCTCTGTACCTGTTGATTTGTGTGGAGGACAGCCCATTCAAAAGCTGGATTTTATGAAGAGTTATGAGGCATCACGAATGGAGGAAGACTCATCAAAAGCCATGGCTTGGATCAGAAACACCTTGTCTTTTTTTTTTCCAAACACCTTATCTTTAAACTGATATCATGTCATCTTCATGACTTTGGAGAGGTCCCTGACAGCAGATTTTCCCTATGCTCCTAATCTCTTGGTTGCTAGTATCAAAGATGTTGATTGTGGATCCAAGTAAGAGAAACTCATTGACAGTTTCAGTCTTTTCTTTATCATAATAGTGCCTGTTGGCCCAATGGTGAAGGTTTTTGTTTTCTTGATGCTGAGATGTAATCCATTTTAAACACTGTAATAGTCTTTGATCTTCTGCAGCAAGTTCCTTATTTTCAGCAAGCAAGGTTGTGTCATCTAAATACTCAGGTTATTGATGAGTCTTCCTCCAATCCTGATGTCACATTCTTCTTCATAAGTGTAGGTTCTCAAACAATTTGCTCAATATACAGAGAAAGGATACAGTCCTGACATACTTCTTTCTTCTTTGTTCTAACTACGGTTTCTTGGCCTTGGTGTAAATTTCATATAAGCATAGTTAAATGTTCTGGAATTTCCATTCTTCTCAGTGATAGTCATAGATTATTATGGGCCATATACCTTTGTGACTGACTCGTTTTACTTAGCATAATGTCTTCTAGATTCATCCATGTTGTACAATTCATGAATTCTTCATTATTCATTATGGTTCCATAGTATGCCTTGTTTCTATATACCATGTTTATAAATTCACCTGTTAATGGACACGTGAGTTAAAAAATCTTGAAATATACTTTTTGTCAGTGAATTAGACACCATTCCTCTTCACTTTGTCATTCCCAGAATAGTAGACATGATTGTTCAATTAAAAAATTACAAATTCTATGAAGCTGTTAACATTCTCAATCTCTTCGTCTGTCATGTTATTGTCAACTGGCCCAGTGGTGAGAATCTTTATTTTCTTGATGTTGCGCTTCAGTTACTATTTAATGCAGCAGTCATTGACCTTCTGCAGTAAATGCCTCTGGTCCTCCTCAGTTTCAGTAAGCAAGGTTATGCCATCTGAGTAATGCAGGTTGTTGATGAGTCTTCCAATCCTGATGTCACGTTCCTCCTCATAAAGCCCAGCCTCCCAAACGATCTGTTCAAGGGAGCTCTGGTGGCCTAGTGGCAAGAAAGTGCACTGCAATCCCGAAGGCACGTGGTTCAAATCCACAAGGTGCTCTGCTGGAGAAGGAGGAGCAGTCTCCTCCTGTGCCAGTCAGATCTGATTCGATGGTACACAGCAAGGGAAAAGAGGCGGGGGGGGGGGGGGGGGGTGGAAGATCTTTTCTGCATACAGACTTAAAAGGTATGAAAATCAGATGCATCCCTGGCATATACCTTTCCTGATTTTGAACCATGCCATGTTTCTCTGCTGTCAGCATGCTTGGCTCCACAATCAACACTCTTGGTACCAGCAACTAGGAATTAAAAGACGAATTGCATTGGGAAAATCTGCTGTTGAGGACCTCTCCAGAGTACTGAAGAGCAACATCGGTCTAGAGACTAAGGTGCACCTGACCCAGGCCATGGTCTTTGTAATTACTTACTTTGTATCAGAGAGCTGGACATGACTAAGGATGACAGAATAAGAATTGATGCCTTTGAGTAGTGATGCTGGAGAAGAGTATTGAACATACTATGGACTTCTAAGAGAACAAAAAGGTCTGTTCTGGAGAGGGTCAAACTAGGCGGCTCCTTGGAGGCAAGGACTCCAAAGTGCTGTTTCACATACTTGGGCATATTGCTGGGAGGAACCAGGTCATGGAGAAGACATATACTTGGAAGGGTAAAGAGATAGAGCAAGAGAGGAAGACTGTAGATGAGATGGGTTGACTTAGTGATTGGGGTAATGGGGTGGGTTTGTTGGCAACAGTGAAATTGGCTCAAGATAGAGCAGTGTTCAGAGCTGTTGTCCATAGGATTGCTGAGTCATAAACAACTCAACAGCACAGAACCAACCACAACAAATAGCACAATTGCCTCAGTTGCTGCAACTCCTAGTGGAACATTATTACATCCTGCCTTCTGAGTGCTCCATAAAAGAGCAGACTTGATAATAAAGTGGAGGATGCAAACAGGCAGTTTTTATAAGCAAATCAAATAATAGCTTACCTGAGTTTCTATATCCACTTTCTAAATAGATTTCTAGAACAAATAATGCTGCTACTAATGCCATAATGGTTACCCATGGTGTACAGTGTTTGGTGGAGCGCCCAGATTAAGACAGACTTGAAAGGAGGAGTAGCATCCACTTCCTAAACAACATGCCTGTGGAAACTCTGTGAACTTAGAGAAATGACGATAGTTATAGAACAGGGTTCAGGTCTTTTGTTCGTAGGGTCTCTGTGAGTTGTGCTCAACTCAGTGGAACTTACCAGTAACAACAGAAACAACGTCTGATGTTGGAGAAAGATGGACAGTCTCCACCCATGTGGTTTATTTACTAGCAATGAAAATCCACTGGAGGGTCAGCAATGAGTCCTTTCTGACCTGACAGTACACAACTTCTTATTTTCCTAGATTTATGCTTTGTACATTTCTTATGCTGTTTGTAGCTGTTTGTCCTCATTTTGAGTAATACCACATCAGTAAATGAATGTGGAGTGAAGCTTCATTGGGTGAGAGCTTTTCTCCATCCACATTATTAAGATAGATGACTTTTTAAGGAGGAGACAGCTCTTCCTTGGTTGTATTTGAATGCTTTCCATCCAACCTAAAGGCCTTCTGACACTATATCGGGTACTGTTCTATTGCACGTCATAGGATTTCCAGTGTTTCTGAAGTGAGTGGTTGAGCCTGCTACTTAAGTCTTACTTAGTGTATAAACTTTGAAACCTGTCCACCAATTGTTGATATTCCTGGGATTTGAAAAATAAATCATAGCTTCAGAAATCACGTTAATATATAAGCCAGCATTGTATGACAAACTGACATATGAGTAGTGGAAACCTCCCTTAGCACGTCCAGTATTCTTTTTCCATGTTTGTTGTTGTTATGTGCCATCGAGTCACTTGCGACTCATAGCGACCCTATGTACAAGAGCTCTAAACGCCATTCTATCCTGTGCCAACCTAGCCATCTCAAATGCACTCATTCCCACCACTCCAGTCACAGAATTGGTCATCTCGAAAGTCTTCCTCTCCTTTGCCGCCCCTCCACTCTGCCTAACATGATGTCCCTCTCTAAGGACCAGGTCCTCCTTGCAACATGCCCAAAGTATGTCAGACGAAGCTTCAGAATCCTTGACTCCAAGTAGCATTCTGGCTTCACCTTCTCCAGGACAAACCTGTTTGTTCTCCTAGCAGTCCATATTCAACACTCTTCTCCAGCACCACAGCTCAGAGGCATCAATTCTCTTTCTATCATCCCTATTCACTGTCCAACTCTCTGATGCATAGCATATAATTGCGAAGACGATAGCCCAGTCAGGCATGCCTTAGTCTCCAGCCTGACGTCGTTGCTCTTCAGTACTCTTGAGAGGTCCCTCATAGCTGACTTTCCAATGCAATTTGTCTCTTGATTTCCTGGCTGCTGTTACCAAGAGTGTTGACTGTGGAGACAAGTAAACTAAAACTGTTAACTATCTCAATCTCTTCACCATCCATACTGATGCTGCCAGTTGGCCCAGTGGTGGGAATCTGTTTTCTTGATGTTGAGCTTCAATCCATATTGAAGGCTGCAGTCCTTGACCTTCTGACAACTAATACTTATAACTTTACAACATTATTTTGATGATTAAAATGATAACTCAATATGAAATTGCCTAATACACTTCCTTGTATTTGATAAATAGTAGATAAAGGCTTATTTGCATGTGCTAACTTTAATCCTCTTGGTATATTTATTGACGAGCTGTGGTAGAGATGGGTCAGGATGTTACAAGTGCAACTTGTTCAGTTGCAGTTTTTTTGGTCTACCTTGGTTTCCTTCAACCTACCTAGACTGACTTTGTTGCTGCTATAAGCAAAGAAAATTTATAGTGCTCCACTTACTAAATAATACTAATTAAGTAACGCTTGTCTTTCTCTATTCCTTTTTCACTCTAAAACATACTTCAAAGCTACAGCTTCCAAAAAACGTTCTTTGACTATCCTCATTTTATAGCCCCTAAGTATAGATTTTAACTTCCATCTTATATTCATGTAACTCATAAAATAATTTTATTTATGTATGTTGAACAGATATGTTTTTTAATTCTTCCTGAATATAAATTCTAAGCTGCTAGACTATAGAATCAGTTTTATTTTTTATAAGTACTTGATGGCTGGCTATTATTCTCATAAGAACCTGTTTTTATTCGGCTGATACAAGGACACTTGTTTTTAAAAAGTAGAGAGAATTTGGAAGGTAAATGTAGAGTTTTGAAAATATGGAGAAAGGATGTTTTGATAAAATTCCAGCGATAATAAGGTATTTTGGAATCTGCTTTCTTTAGTTGCTTGCCTGATGGCACTGGTTACTGTATAACAGTAACTTTTAACTTGAAAACTTCTTTAGGATGGATTAGTAAGCTTTCCACCTAGTTTTTAAAAAATCTTCTGGTTCAATACATTGTAATTAGTGTCTAGTAATTAAATCATTCTCTTTTTCTTGCAGATTGAGGAGGTGCCATGCAGCAAGAAACAAAGCGATGCAAAGCTCGAGCCAGAAGACCTGACATGGCACTTTATGTACCAAAAGCTCGAAGGAGTGTTGTGCTCTCCAAGGCGAGTGATGAGGACAAAAGCCGTGCTTCA